AGGATTACTTCAACCATTAACTAGTCCCAACAGAGTTTTGGAGGACATCACCATGGATTTCGTGACCCACTTACCTAGTTCCTTTGGCCACACCACTATTTGGGTGTTGTGTGACAGATTGAGCAAATATGCTCACTTCCTAGCATTGCCAACAAATTTTAGTGCTCCTCAGTTAGCTCAACATTTTTCCATGTAAATTTGCAAGTTGCATGGCATGCTGAAGTCCATTGTTTCGGATAGAAACCCAATCTTTATCAGCACTTTCTGGAAGACCCTATTTCATGCTCAAGGTACTAGATTGCGTTTTAGTTTGGCATACCACCCTCAGACGGATGGCCAAACCGAAGTGTTGAATCATAGTTTGGAGGCATATCTGCGCTGTTTTGCTAGTGATCTGCCTCGCTCCTGGTATAAGCTTTTGCATCTAGTTTAGTATTGGCATAATACCACCCTACACACTAGTATTGGCACCACTCCATACCATGTTCTTTATGGTCGGCCTCCGCCTTCCACGGTGGACTTCATTCCTAGTTTGTCCACTCCCACCTTAGTTGTAGTTATTCTGTGTGAGGATAAACACATAATTAGCATTGTTAAGGACAACTTACATCTCACTCGACAGAGAATGAAAGCTTATGCCGATCAAAGTCGCCAAGATTTTGCCTTTCAAGTGGGAGATTGGGTGCTTTTGAAACTCTAACCATACTGTTAGGCTTCTGTTTCTCATCGTTCTTTGACAAAGTTGGCAAAGGGTTTTTATGGTCCTTTTCAGGTGTATCGCCGCATAGGACTGGTTGCGTATGATCTTGATCTTCCATCTTCATCTCGCATCCATTCCATAGTCCATATTGCTAAGCTTCGTCCATACCATGGCTCAAATCCTCTAGAACATTACAACCCTCTTCCATCACTTTCTTTTGATAATGAAGAAGACCATTCACTTTTCAAGGCTGACCATAATGTTTTTCCTTCGTCCAATTTATCTACACCATCGACCCTTAATCCTACGGCTTCAATTTTTCCAACGGATCCACCAACCAACTTTTTTAATGTTGTCCCATCAATGTCTTCCACCAACAAAATCCACGTTCACCCACCACTTCATGCTTCTTTGTTGGATTTGGTTCCAAGAAACACAAATTCATCTACATCGTCCATTCCTTCATTGATCCCTGCCACCACTACTTCCACTTACCCACAGCTGCCACGTCACGACCTTGAGGATAAGGTCCCTTTTGAACGGGTCAACAATGATAGAGAACCAAATAGCCCAAGTATAAATAGGCCCAAACGTATTATATCCAAACCATGTTGGATGAGAGACTATGTCTAGTTATAAAGGTTTTGGTTTTATCTTCTATTTCATTTGGCTTTCAATAATCTCTAGACACGTGAAGAGATAGATTACAATGGGTATTTTACATATATTGTAGTGTCTATCATTGAGAAGGGCATGAATGAATTTCCTGAGTTTATTTTCTTCTTAGTAGTACCAGTGTAGCCCTAATTCTCTCACTCATATATCAAATTCATTCTTTCTTGTAAAATACTTAGTGCGCTATAATACATCTAAGCGAAATGAAAACAATGTCTTTGTAACCTTTATAATCATTGTTGTGAGGTTGAATCTAAAAAGGTTTGTCTGTAAAACAATACTTGATTGAGCCTAAAAATGTTTGTTTAAAAAAAATATTTGGTTGTTAAGTCTGAAGAGACTTGTTGTGAAAAGAATACTTGGGTGATTGTTTGAAGAGATAAGTCAAAGAATACTTAGGGTCGAATCAAAAGTGACTTGTTGGAAGAATACTTGTATTTTTGTTGAAAGATAGTAAGACTCAATCTAATTAGATTGAGAAATAGATATAGTCTCGGTGGTTGAGACGAACTAGTATAAAAATATTTAATGTTTTGTCTGACTTCTCTTCATACTCCATCTAACTGGTTTTACTACTTTACTATGAAAAAGTACAAATTTTTGATACACACTATTCAATCTCTTGGTCTAAGGTTTTTCTTTTCTCTACAAAAGGTTTGAACATAAAACATGTACATTTATTTTTAAATAATCATATACATTTTTTTTAAAATTTTATCATTCAAATGCACTAGTGAAAAAGAGACTTTTTACGTCCGTATTTTCACGTCGAACCACAACATATCCGACGTAAAAACGACGCGGTGGCATTTTTGAAAATAACGCAAACTTTTTTACGTCAAACAACAAAGGGACCGACGTAAATTCAACAATCTACGTCGGACCTCAGCTACAACCGACGTAGATTTTTGAATTTACGTCGGACCCTTTGTCCTCCGACGTAAATTCAAGTTGAATTTTTGAATTTAAGTTGCGTAGCGCCTCTTTCTTTCCCATTCTTCACCAGATTTCCTTCCCGCTCTCCATGCTTCGCAGCCAACACGTAACGCCTCTCCATTCTTCCCGCTCTTCACCAGATTTCCTTCCCATTCTCCATGCTTCGCACGCCATTGGTTGGGAGCATTCCGATTTCGTTCCCGTTCTTCGCTCCTTTCCTACGTTCAAAGGTTCCTTTCTTATCTTCTTCCCTCCTTTCTTTATTTCGTTCGAAGGTATCATAATGTTTATCTTTGGCTGCAGACAAGAGCAGAATATGACAAGGAGTGCAAAATTTGTACAAGGCCTTCTGGATCCTGAATATGGGCTACCCTCAGCAAGGAGAACGAGCCGTTCTCCTTGCAGAACAGGCCGTTCCAGCATAATTTTTTTTTGGGTTTTTGTAACTTTTTTACGTCGATGTTCGCTAATCTCCGACGTAAATTTACATCGGTCTAAAATGCTGACGTAAATTTACGTCTCCCGCTTTTACGTCGGAGGTTTTTCTGACGTAAAAACCTTAAAATAGTTGACGTAAAAAGCCTCTTTTACACTAGTGATGTTAGGGATGGCAAAACGGGCCAGCCCGGCCCGTTTTGGCCCGGCCCGCCATTGGCCCGCCAAAAACGGGGCGGG